ACTATCAAAACGCCTGCCATTTGATATAAATAAATATTATAAAGTACCCCTAGGCGAAAAATACTAATGTAAATTAACATCATCGAAAATATAATCACATCTAGTGAAGTTATAATGACTTTAAATTCCTTGCTGTCTCAACTCCGCTATAGTAAAACTGTAAGGAGCTGAATATGGCATATGATCAATTACCTCTGAAATGCTTGAATAAAAAGGACAAGATTAAAGAACAGGTAAATAAAGGCTGGATGTTGAAAACGAACATTGATGAAATTCGGGGACGTAACCTAAAACTTGAATTTCGGGATGTGAAATAACAGTTTTAATAGATATTGCTCATACAAAATCTAAAATTAAATTTTTAAGTTGTTTAACATTTTATTAACTACTTTCAGCGGACTCCCACAATTACAACTTGAAATTAATAATCATAATCATTAATATATAGATAGCCTGCCAATGCCCAATTTTTCATAACAATTTACCTTTTATAATACGCTTGAGTGGTAAGGTCAGTAAGTGTATTTATTTCATTTTTCATTCTTGACAATGCGTCAACAATCTTATGATACATTGAATCAAATTGATCTCTTTCCATTTGCAAAGTATCTATATCACTCCTCAATTCTAAAATAAAATTTCAGTTTCTCATACATAATGAGTATTAATAATATGAAATCGTCAACTTTAATTTACCTAAATTCTTTCCCAAGAATTCATTATACGTTTTATTAGCAAGAATGACCTGATTTTCAAGATAGGCTTGCTTTTTGAGGAGTGTATTCAAAGATGTTTGGGCATCGTGACTTGATCCGATGGTACGAATCAGTGCTGACAAATTTTTCTGCAAAACACGAATCTATTTTTTAATATACTATTAGCTTAACCAATAATATATACTTTATCATTTAATTCTTCATGCTTTGATTTTTCTTTCACGATTTTCTCCTGTAGCCACTCCTTGTTTTCAATCATATTGACCAAATCACCTTTAACTTTTTCGTCTTTTGTCTGGTTGCCTTTACTATCAATGACCAATATCTGATTTTGGAGTTCATCCCTTTCAGCTTCAAGTAATTCAATAGACTTTCTAAAATAAAGAATCTTGAGTGTCAGAATATTGTGAATGTTATTACAATATTTTTTATTTAATTATGTACATGGCAAATGTGTGAAATAAATGATAATATTACTATATTAATCATAAAAAACCAACTTTAATTTAATCATGGCAGACTGCATTTCCACTACATAATGTTCTCTATCCGCCTGAGCAAGATGTAAGGCACGTTTAAGCTGATCATATTCGGCTTTCCTATCAGCTAACATATCGGCATCACTGTCTATTAACGATTTTAAGGGCATTTTATTATTAACACCCCCACGATAATATAAATAAGAGTTAAATATATTTCAGGAAGACAAAATATTTAAACAAGGTTTCAATCTATATTATTAAGAAAATCATATGGTTAATACATTTTATTAATAATTTACCAATAAATTATCCAATTATGTGTAATCATAATAAATGTTGTAAATTAAGTGCAATTTTATTATGATTAGTTAATAACACAGATCAGGTTTTAAGATAGGTTTGTATTTGACTTAAATTAAGAATAAATGTGCTAAGTTTTCGAATTAACAAGGTTTTGCCAATTTATATTAGTTATGTGCTTTGTCTATTTTTCATGGGTCGTTATTCATATTCGGAATGAGTTTGTCCGGTCTATGTTTCCGATCTTCTTTTATTCGTATTCCTCTTGTCCTTTGTAACATTAAAAAACACTCACCTAAATTAGTCTATGTTCCCAGTCGGCTTGCTGGTCATTCTCACTGGCAAAATGTTCGACATACTAAAGAAGCCAAAGATAAGGAACGTATGCGCATCATAACGAATTATCTTCTGCAAATAGATGCTGCAATTAAAGGTACTATTTTGGCTTTGTAACATTTTTTATTGATTTAGTAAGTGGAGGTATTCGTGATCCCAAGCTAAATAGCAAACTTGCATCAGTTATAGCTGATGCAAAATCAAAGAATGTTCCTATGGAAACCATTAATCGACGAATCAGTGCTCAAGATATGGTTGATCCATATGTGATAGAAATTCAGGCTCCTGGTGGCATTTTCGTCCTAGTTGAAACTAGACTTAAAAATGTCAAATCGGCTAGAGATAAAATTCAAGCACTGGCAAAAAAATATGGGTACGATGTCTCTAGTTCCTTACTTAGTAAGATTTAAGGTATCAAGATCGAATCCAGGTTCCCTTGCGAACGAATTCTTTGAACATAAAGGGATTATTTCAATCACCCCCCAGAAATCGGCTGAGAACATTGATGGCGTAACAGAGCTGGCAATTGAATGCGGTGCCAGTGATGTGGAAGAAACAGAAATTGATGATGGAGTTCAAGGCTTCGAAGTAGGTGATCTTTTGAATATTATTGTGTGTCATTGTTTATTTGTTGTGGTTGTTCATCATCTCAACACGCTTGAACTATATGTCCAATTGAGAATAATTTCGTAGGCTTTCGTTGAAGCCGCTCAAATGGCCCTTTGTCGTGGCTATCAACTATTTTGATTAAGGGAAGATATCATCTAGTTTGCTGTGAGGACAGAATCATATTCCACCGTTTTGCTAAATGGAGTCAAGCAGCGCTTCGATTACTTTTGCTAGTTGTGAATATTTCGAAATCAGTTACACAACCTTTATTTGACGAAGATTATCACTTCAATATGATGCTTGGATTAGTAGAAAATGATTGTACATTGCTCGTCAATGAAATTAAAGAATTCTACTTGATACTTAATTTTCTATTTGCTCGGGCTGATTTCTTAGATGCTTATATGAGTGGTGGTGGTTCCGTTACCTCGGCGCTTTTGCCTAGATAGCATAGTGGACAGTGTGCGCACACACAAAAATAATGGTCGGTACCTCCAGGGGTATTACCAATAGCTGTGGAGTGGGGAATTTACTATCATGCTTCAGATCATTTCTGGAAATAATTTAAATATGATTGGCTTGGCTTAACAAAGGACATTTTTCTCTGTTTTCTGGGGGTCTTATTCGTTCTTTGGTCTCTAACCCGTTAGTATATTTACGAAGGCGTTTCTTGCGGTGTTCTTGGGTAGAATGATAGCAGGGCTGGCGAGGAAATTAGCCAAACTTAACCATTTCATCTGGCCATTATGCTCAATGGGGTTATACAGATCTGTGTCTTTATGTTGGTGGAGCTCGTTAGTGATTTATTTTGGGGTGATGCTACTAGTCTTTAAGATATTGTTTATATCGAATGGCAGGCGTCTTGATGGTTATCATTAGCCCTTTAGTTGACTTCAGGCTTCACAGAGGGGAAGGAACATCAAATTGAAAATACTCGAGAGAGGGAAACAGAAGAGTGTTTCAAAGATGTAAGAGACAAACACAAAGGTAGAAAAAAGGTGAGGTGAGTACTGTGAAATAATGGCATAGAGTGAGGGGGTGGTAGTTTGACGTGAGAAGTCAACTGCCATTTGATGGACTTTTTGCCGTATGAATATACGTTGCCCAGGGTGC